TTAATTAATTAAATCATAAATAATTTTTAATAAAAATCTAATTTTTGAAATTTGAAATTTGTTTTCTTGTTTTTGAAATGTGCCATACTTAATCTCTTACTAATAAAATTTTCCCTCCTGTCAACCTCTTCTCTATATAAATGGAAAAACTCTTTTTGGTTAGTCATTTAAAGTGGACCGAATACCGATTGAGATTGATCACGACATATTTGTACTCATGCTGGCTTGGTGACAAGTGCTTGCACGGACCACTTTAACAGCACTAGTGTTGGACCATGTTTACAAATCTCATAGAAAATGTAATAAAATGCAATAAAGATAAAGAGACGAGTAAGATCTGTAATTTAGTCAAAATATCAATTGATAAGAGTAATATGAACTCTAAAAGAGGGAAGAAAATAAAAACACGACATTTTTGAAAAGGAAATATGTTACAAGAAATGGAAGAAATCTCAAAGCAATGAAGCCTTAAATCAGGAGAACAGAGAAAACGAAAATAATTCGCTTGCTTAATTTTCTTTAGAAAAGGGACAGGTTGGACGAGAGAAATGTGAAGATGTTACTTTAAGAATCTTTAGATATTTATTTAAGATTGAATTCAAATTTGTATTTTTAAAAAATTTAAAAGTTTATTTCATACACATATGGTTGATAATGATATAAGATGTTGCTGAAATCTAAAACGTTAGATTCAAGGATAATTACAATGTCAAAACTTTTTAAAAATGTAAAGGTTTTACCTAAATCTTTGATCTATATTATCGTTGGTTCCAAATCTTTCAAAAAGGTGAGGTAAAAAACCTCCGTATGATTTCTATCCAAAAAATTTGTTAATTGATCAAAAGCCAGCAATTGACCATAATTTAATTAATTTTAAGGCAAAATAGTTTTTTTTTCACCTTTCTATTAACCAAAAAGGAATAATTTTTATTGAGAGTTCCAAACCTTTAAATATGAGCATCGGAGTTTGCAAATATTTAATAAATTTACATTGAAAGGACATCTAATGATTTTCATTCAGAAATTTATTTAGAAAAGAATCTGTCTTCTCCAATCAACAAAACCACCCAACCCAATGCTTAACCCCTAACCCGTCCTGCCAATCAGTCCATTGGTAGGTGGAAAAGCAGCTGCCATCGTCGTTGCGGTTGGACTTGTAGAGAATTCATCTATCTTTATTTATATGTTTCTCAAGTTTTTTAAAAGTTTTTGTTACGAGGAAATATCGATGGGGATGGAAAAATGGAATCAATAGAGGTGGAAGAAATGAGGTGATGGCAATAATTGACGCTATTGTAGGGTTGAGGTCGAAAAAATATATTCATCTTTTGCTATTCACATAACCACCCAACCTTATGATGATTAAAACAAGGTATTTTATGTCTCATCGTGTTCTATATATAAAAAACACGAGATATAACCCCTAATAAAAAGAAGAAAAAGTTCTTGATTTACGTGTAATATTATTTTATACAAAATTGTGTAGTTAAAAATAGGTGAGAGAAAAGTGAAATGTAATGGAATGGAACTTAGTGGGGCCAAACGGAAGCATAATCTGATTGAAAGAAATTTGGGAGTTGTTTGACAAAGCTTTTCATAAAATAAAATAGTTCGATAAAATTCGTGAAATGTATAGTTAAAAATTAATAAAATTAGCAAGTCCCACTAGAAGTGTGATTAAAATTAAATATTGATTTTGACCTCTAACCTCCTATAAGTACGTATATTACTTAGATTTTAACGTGTCCAAAAAATTGTCAAAAAAATAGCACACTGAATATAACATGGAATAAGCACCCATCCCCCTAATAATAAACCTTGGTTCTTAGGGACCGCTCGAAGGAGTTAATTCATAACTGGTTGGTGAAATTCAGTGATAATAAAGAGATTTGACCACAATTTTGAACTAACGGCCTTCAAGAGGCAACGTGGTAATAGTCCCCAAACACTAATTGAGGTTGAGGCATGGGTGGGATCCGATCCGGTGTGTTAGTTGTTAGGTTTTGGAAGTTGGGTGTTTGTATGAATTGCGATATATGTATATTTTTGCAAACCTTGAACTTACAACAAGGTCAGGCATCGTCGCCTCCTCATTTCCTCCACCCTTGTCAATCCCATATTCTGATCCCATCAACTTCATTTCTTCCTAACAAGAACCTTTAAAAATCTGGAAAGAAATAAATAAAAATAAATAAATTATCTTCAATCCCACCAGTAGGGAATGGGGTAGGGTGGACTAGTGATTCATTTGGGTGGTTGGTCGTAGATGATAGAAGATGGTGAACTAACTGATTTCTAAAAATACAAGACTGAAGATGCCGGTTCTAAAAAGTTCATTGTGGGAAAGTTCTTGGACTAGAAAATGGTAGATTCCAAGACTGTCATCAGTAAAGTGCAGGAATTGCAAGTTATACTTCACGATATTCATACGGAGAATATATCTCTAAGTGAATCATTTCAAGTGACTACAATCATCGAAAAACTCCCGCCTATGTGAAGGGACCTCAAAAATTATCTCAAGCATAAGTGCAAAGAGATGAATATTGAAGAACTTGTAATCTGTTTGAGGATTGAAGAGGACATTCGAAACTTGAACAAACGTGTTGGAGATCAGTCACTTAAGCAAGTGGAGTCAAACAACAAAGGGAAGAAGATGAAGCATTCTGCGAAACCCTCAAAGAAGTTCAAAGGCAAATGCTACAACTGTGGGAAGGCTGGGCATCGTTTTGTTGATTGTTGCAAACCCAAAAAGCAAGCCCAAGCAAATATCAATGAATCTGATGCATTGTCTAATGGCATGCCATATATGAACTTGTCGACCATTATTTCTGAATGTAACCATGTTGGAAATCTCATGGAATGTTGGATTGACACGGGTGCTACCCTTCACATATATGCCGATAGAGGAATGTTCACTACCTATACTCCAATCGAGGGAAAAAAATTGTTCATGGGAAATTCCTCAACTTCAAAACTGGAAGGACAAGGCAAAGTTATATTAAAGATGACATCGGGAAAGGAACTTAGCCTCAGCAACGTTCTTCAAGTGCCGAATATTCGCAAGAATTTAGTGTCGAGTTCTTTATTATGCAATAATGGCTTTAAGTTAGTCTTTGTGTCGGATAAATTTGTTCTCACAAAGAATAACATGTATGTAGGCAAAGGCTATGTAAAAGATGGACTATTCAAAATGAATGTCCTCATTATTGTACCAAACAATGCAATGAATAAAACATCCTTTTCCACTTATATTGTTGAGTTGTCTAATTTATGGCATCATAGATTAGGACATGTGAATTATAACTCAATACGAAAATTGATAAACTTAAGTGTTCTTCCCAACATGCATTTTAATAATGAAAAAAATTGGGAAATATGCGTAGAGACAAAATTGGCCAGCACTCTGTTTCAATCAGTTGAATGAAATACTGTACATTTGGAACTTATTCACACAGACGATTGTATGAGATACTGTGATGTATACTTGTTAAAAAGTAAAGATGAAGCATTGGAAGTGTTTACACACTATAAAACAGAAGTTGGGAATCAACTTGGAAAACAAATAAAACTGATTCGTTGTGATCGAGGTAGAAAATACGTTGCTCCATTTGAAGAGTATTGTGCAGATTCTGGAATTATTCATCAAATTGCTGCACAATACTCACCTCAATCTAACGAGGTTGCTGAACGAAAAAAATCAGACCCTTAAGGAAATTATGAATGCAATGTTGAGAAGTTCAGATTTACCTCAAAACTTGTGGGAGGAAGCCTTACATTCTGTAAATCATATCCTAAATAAAATACCACACAAAAATAAGGATAAATCGCCTTATGAACTATGGAAAGGTCGTAAACCTTCCTACAATTTTCTGAAAGTGTGGGAGTGTTTGGCAAATGTGCAAGTACCAAAACCTAAACAAAAAAGGATTGAACCTAAGACTATTGATTGTGTCTTTATTAGATATGCTATGAACAGTAGTGCATGTCGTTTCTTGGTCCACAAATTTGAAGTGCTTGTCGTACAAAAAGGTACTTTGTCGAATCAAGAAATACTGTATTCTTTGAAGATACTTTTCCATATAGGGAAAAGGACACAAGTTTGCATAAACGAACATATGATACTGCAATTGGAAACCATCATGAATATGGCGAAAATCTTCAAATAAATGAAGAACCAAGGTGCTGTAAAAGACAACGAATTTCCATGACATTTGGTCCAAAATTTCTAATCTATTAGAAAGTGATCCTAGGACATTTGACGAAGCATGTCCATCTCGGAAGCTCCTTATTGGAAGGAAGCAGTAAATAATGAAATTGAGTCTATCATGAGCAACCACACTTGGGAATTGGTTGATCTTTCTCCAGGAAATAAACTGTTAGGTTGTAAATGGATCTTCAAAAAGAAGCTGAAAGCTGATAGATCAATTGACAAATACAAAGCTTGATTGGTGGCCAAAGGTTATAGACAAAAGAAAGGTCTAGATTTCTTCGATACCTATTCACCGGTAATAAGGAGCACGTCTATACGTTTCTTGATTGCAATCGCGGCATTGCACAATCTTAAAATATATCAAATGGATGTTAAAAATACATTCTTAAACGGTGAATTAGAGGAAGATATTTATATGGAACAACCTGAAGGGTTTGTTGCCCCAGAAAACAAAAAGAAGGTATGTAGGCTTGTCAAGTCATTATATTGACTAAAACAAGCACCAAAACAATGACATGAGAAATTTGACAAAACAATGTTGCCAAACGGCTTCAAAATTAATGAATTCGACAAATGTGTCTACTTCAAAAGAACATATAATGACTACATAATAGTATGTTTGTATGTTGATGATATGCTAATCATGGAAAATAACCCGAATATCATTTCCTCGACCAAGGAAATGTTGATCAAACACTTTGACATGAAGGGCATGGGAATAGTCGATGTGATACTAGGGATACAGATCTCTAAAACACATGACGGCTTGTCATTGTCTCAGTGTCATTATGTTGAGACTATACGTAATAAATTTAAGACGCATGACAATGAACCAGTTAAGACACCAGATGATTCGAACATACACTTAGCCAAAAATACTGGTGATCATGTGTTACAAGTGGATTATTCACGCGTTATAGGCAATTTAATGTACATTACTAACTACATGCGTCCGGATATAGTATATATAGTCAACAAGTTGAGCAGATTTACAAGTAATCCTCTTAAGACCCATGATTAAATATGGATTACACTACTCAAGATATCATGCATTATTAGAAGGATATACCAATGCAAATTGGATATCTCAAGTTTTCTTCTTCTATGACTGTCTCCTTAAGCCTCTGTGATCTTTCACCTACGATATCAAATTCTTCACCAGATGATCTCCCATTTTTTGTCACTCTTCGTCGCACCTTTCACGTTTCTCGACCACCAGATAGGTATGGTTTTTCTTTTTCGTAACCCTATATCCGCTACCCTTAACTCAATTTCCACCCCTACCTCATATAGACAGGCTATGGAACAAGAGTATTGGCTACATGCAATGAATGCAAAACTTGAGGATCTTGAAGCTAACTAAACGATGTTGTGCCATGTCCCTCAACTGCAAATCCCATTGGAAGTAAATGGATATATTTAGTCAAACTTCATTCTGATGGTTCTCTTAAATGCTATAAAGCTCTGTTGGTTGCCTTCAGTAAACGCCAAGAATATGGAATCGACTATGATTAGACATTTGCTCCTGTGGCTAAGATAACCACTATTCGTCTCTTGTTATTGCTTGTCATCCTCAATCTTGGTCTTTACATGAGATAGATGTAAAGAATGTGTTCTTACATGGAGAACCTAAGGAAGACATTTTTGTAAAACTTCTATCTGGTATGCCTCTTCCGTCAATTGACTCTGTATGTAGGCTAAAATGCATTTTGTATGGTTTTAAGCAGGCCCTTCAAGTGTGGTTTGATAAGTTATACCGCACTCATTTGGATTTTTCCTTTACTCGAAGTTAGTATGACGCGTCTCTGTTCTTTCATAAGAGTACTGTTAGCATTGTTTTTTATTGTTATATGTGAAAGATGTTATATTTTGGATCTGATCACAATCTTATTCAAAAACTTCAACAACATGTTCTCTCGATTTTTCATATAAAAGATTTTGGTCACTTCACTTACTTCTTTGGCTTAGAGGTTCATACTACTCCTCATGATATCTTCTAAAATCAACATAAATATATTTAAGATTTGATTAGATTGACTGATCTATCTGAAGCCACCTCAGTTAATATTCCGTTGGAGCTTAATGTTAAATATCTAAAAGATAAAGGTGATATTCTTCGAAATCCTAGTCTATATCGAAAGTTGGTGGGTAGTCTCATCTTTCTCACTATCACACATCCAGATATTTCTTTTGCAGTTTTTACTATGAGCAAATTTATGGACGCCCCTCATCATCTTTATTTGGTAGCTGTCCATCACATTATATGCTATTTTATTGAAACTCCTCATCGCAATCTATTCTTTCCTCGGGGGACGTCTCTTGAGCTCACCACTTATGGTGATATTGATTGGGCTAGATGTCTGGATTCTCGTTGATCTACTACTGTGTAGTGTATTTTTTTGGCTCTCATTTCTTGGAAATGTAAGAAACGGGACTATTTGTTTGAGTCCCCTACTGAGACAGAATATTAGGCTATGTTCGCTGCATGTTTAGAAGTTGTGTGGCTACGTGGCCTTCTTACAAAACTTGGTATTTCTCAATCACAGCCTACACCCTCCATGGTAATAACGCTAGTGCTATTCAGATTGTGAATAATCCTGTGTACCATGAACGTACCAAATATATTGAAATGAACTATCATTACATCCGGGATGTCTATGATTCCAAAGTCATCGCTCTTCCCCATGTTTCCACTATCCAACAGGTCGCAGGTATATTTACCAAATCTCTAACTCATCTCCATCATAATTTTCTTGTGAACAAATTGATGTTTGTGGACTCACCAACATCAATTTTTTTGGGGGGGGGAGAGGAGGGGAGGGGGTAGGTATTAGAGGTTTATTTCCCGTGGTTTCCTTGTATATAGTAATTATTTTACATAGAATCGAAAATTATTCCTATTGCATAGACTAACTAGAATTTCGTTATATAGCTATGTAATCTCTATAAATTAAAGGCAATATACACGAGAAAAGCATTCAGCCAAAATTGTGTCACCACAGGAATTTTTGCCGCATTTTCCTTGCTAAATTATGAGTGTGTGTAGTTATAAGTACTCAGTTTCATTTACTAGTTAAATTTATCGTTGCAGGATATGCTTGCGGCTTCAATGGACACTGCAGCATCAACCGTCGAGTGGATACTTTCCGAACTCCTAAAGAATCCACAAGTAATGAAAAAAGTCCAGAAAGAGTTGGAAGAAGTAGTCAGCTTGGACAGGATGGTGGAGGAGTCGGATTTGGAGAGTCTAGAATATCTAGACATGGTCGTGAAGGAAACTTTTAGGCTCCATCCCGTGGCACCATTACTAATTCCTCATTATTCGCTGGAAGATTGCACTGTTGATGGCTACCATATACCAAAAGATGCTCGAATAATTGTTAATACGTTTGCACTTGGACGCGATCCAAATGCATGGACTGATCCTGAGAAGTTCAATCCGGAGAGGTTTGTTGGGAGTAGTATAGACCTCAGGGGACAACATTTCCAGCTTCTGCCGTTCGGCTCTGGAAGGAGAGGGTGCCCGGGAATGCAACTGGGGCTCATCATGGTTCGATTTATCGTGGCGCAACTGGTGCATTGCTTTGATTGGAAGCTGCCAAATAACATGTTACCTTCTGAGTTGGACATGACTGAGGAATTCGGCGTCGTAGTCGCCAGGGCAGAGCATTTGATGGCTGTTCCCACTTATCGTTTGCAAAAATATTCAACCTGAAAAGAATTCCGGGAATTTAATCGTTATTTTACGAATCTTCGTTTTCAGAACCTTTTTTTAATTCAGTAAAACTGGTAGACATGCAGCCTAAAGATTACATTATTCATCTGATACCAATAAAATCTGCCTTAAACTATGACCAGTATGTGCAATTTCTTTGTGTATTTGAACAAGAAGATGGGAGTCATCTTCGCTGCAAATCCCTGTAAGCCTTCATTATAAGTCTGATAAATTTGTGAACCGGTCTTCAATTGATCTTCTGATCATCGAATGACTCGATCATAGAACTATACCGTTCATCTTGAATCAAGAACTGAAACGGCCTTAAATGGACAGCTGTATGAACAAGATAACTTGATAAAAACATACTCAGTTGCATTCACGGAAATCAAAGATTGAAATAATTATAAGCCTCGTGAAAATTGCTGAGAAAACAACGCAGAAGAATGCGAAATGATCCATTAATGATTGATGCAGAGAAAGTTATTGCTAAACAAATAAGCTGCCACCATCATTCTTTTGCATTAAGATTTTTTTTTTTTAATACAATTTTCTTGTGCAGTCGCAGAATTCACTTTCTTTCTAAAGGACTTGCGTATTAAATTTTCGTACATAGGTGACATTAAAATATAATTACAGTATGCAGCTAATGTATTGGGGCATGAAAAAATAACAATGTTGCAACTATAGAACTCGAGATCAAATTGAGAATTCGGTCAAATAATTAATGGATAAAACATCCCTTTACACAAAAATTCGAAGGGAAATAGAAATTGGTGAAAATGAGCCCAAATTACAAGGCAAAGGAACCAAATAAAAAATAGAAAAAATACACAATAAACCAGTTACAAAAGAATTAATTCCAAGGCGACATGTACAAAATTTCACACAGTTATGGAACAGAGATCTTCAAGGACTTGTTTGATGTTAGGCCTTTCATTGACAGGAAGAATACACTTCAGCGATACGGCAAGCATATCATCCATTGCTTTCAAATGTTCTTCTCCGCTTGCAATATCTCTGTCGATGCAATCCATAACTCGTCCTTCTTGATCACAGAGTCTAACCCAATCCGTAAGATCCACCGCACCTGATTGACCAGAGATAATGTCGCCAGCACTTCTTCTCGTCAATAATTCCATCAAGATTACACCAAAAGCATACACATCAGCCTTAAAAGATGGGACAGGTTTGGTAGCACTTGCAAGTTCTGGGGCACGATATCCAAGGGCCCCCAGGTTCAAGATCTGCTCAGCAATGCCTGCTGGAGTCATCAGTCGGTGAAGACCATAATCTGTAAGCCGAACACTGTAATCCATGCCCTCCAAGAGTATATTTGTTGGCTTTAGGTTTCCATGAGGAAGGCCTCTGTCATGAAGGAATATAAGACACCGAGCAACATCAACAGCAACTTTCAATCTTTGGTTGAACTGCAATGTGGAGTACCTCCGAGGCGTTGTTTCTGCATAAAATTACTGGTAATTATTCTGCTAAAACAATATATTCAGAACCATCCTGCACTTCCCAAATGTAGTTAGGAACCAAAAACCAAGAGTATTTAAAGTTAGTAATCTGAAAAAAGACATCACTGCCATTAAAAATTTGAAAACGCGATGTCCGTTTATTATTATATACATTCCTCCATTGCAATTCCTAAAGATCCTGTATGCAAAAAAGCATTAGGAAATTACAGATTCCAAAAGGCCATCAAATGACAGTCCAGACCCACCATTTCATTTGGGCAAGGCCAAAAGATTCGTTTCAAATGAAGAATTGTATTGAATTCCATAGCAATCAGATAAAATCATTTTCCTTTCATATGAAGTCCACAGAGACAAAGTAAGGAAGACGCAAATGCCAGTAACCAATTATTTTCCAGTTTACAAACTGAGATGATTCTGGGAATACCATAAAACTGAAACTAATCTAGTTCTGCGGATCTTTTCCAGATATCCAAGCATTTCCCCAATAAGAAACCATAGCTCACATCCAACTTTGCTATCCATTGTAGGGAAAAATAAATAATTATTTATATCTTAAAAAATGAACTTGTATATAAATAATTTACTAATAAGAGGGTTTAAAAGGCTTCTCAGAAGCAATATATGTATATAGCAAAGTCATATATTTATATAGCACAAATTTGTCCTCAGATTCAGTAACTGCATCAATGAACAAATGTGGCTCCAATGACGGGAAATTTTCAGTATTTATACAAAGAATGAGAAAATAGGCTTAAAGTAGATAATACCCAGATGTAACACAAGCAATGTATCTTACCATAAAGATGTAAAGCCAAGCTATCACCCTGGATGTAGTCTGCTAAAATGAGCCTCTCTTGTTCTCTTGGTCCCCAATAGTAAGCCCGTAAAGGAACAATATTCTGATGCTTTACAGATCCAATCTTTTTAACTTCTTTTGCAAATTCTTTCTTGTGTTTGACCAATCCCACTCTTAACCACTTCACAGTCAACATATGCCCATTGTCTAGGGTAGCTTTGTACAAAGTGCCATGGCTACTTCTACCAAGTACTTCTGCTGGAGCTCGCGATAACTCCTCAGCTGTAAATGCTAGTGATGCATCCAGGAAAAACAGTTCTCCAGCCAACCGATCTGGTGAATATACATCCAGTGTAACAGGTTGCTCTATTGTGTCAATAAAACTAGGTGAGGAAGCTATAGGGGACCCTGGAGAAGACCTTCTTCCAGATGATGTAGGGTGGATATCTTCTTGACTTTTAGTAGACCTTATGCCAATAGCCACTCCCTCGGATGATACATCCTCAACAATTTCTGTACCAGCCTCCATTTGCCCAGACAACGATCTTGAATTTGAAGTCAGCAAATGATCATTAGAAAAGCTTAATGAAGTCGGAGGAGGCTCGGTGCTGCTATGGAATCTGAAAAGTGAAGGCCCACTAAACTTTCCTAGATTAACGTCTCTACCAGCAGTCTGCCCACATAATCCACTTCTTACACGGAAATCTTGAAGTCGAGCCCGATGATAGGCCAACAGAACAAAGGCAATCATTACCACAGCTCCAACACATGCAACAATTATAGCAACTTTGATACTTGATCTCGAGCTGTGATGTCCTCGCCTGTCGATATTATCAGGAACGTTATTATGCCCACCAGGCACATTAATGAAGCTGTTTCCAGGCATAAATGAAGAACTGGGGAAGCGTTTCAAGTTCTCAGGGATATTTCCCGATAAATTGTTGTAGGACACATTGAAGTATTCCAGGCTTGATGTAAGTCCATCAGGAATGCGACTGTTGAAGCTGTTGTGGGATAAATCAATGTACTTCAGGCCACTGAGTTTGCTCAATTCATTTGGTAGCTTTCCAGATAAATGGTTATTTGCGAGATTCAACAAACTAAGCCTCGCAAAGTTCCCTATATCAGGAGTTAATCCACCCGTCAAGGAGTTTCCTGAAAGATCTAGAGATTCCATTGGTGGAATAGAAGGTAAAACTAATAATTCACTAGTCTGAGAACCTTCGAGAGGAATTGATCCTGTCAAATGATTGCCGGACAGATTCAACTTTGATAGGGTTGTTGAAGTAAAGAAGGTTCGTGGAACCAGACCATCAAGTCTGTTAGAGCTGAGATCAACTCTGCTGATCTTTGGATGGGAGCCCAATGAAGAAGGCAACATACCCTCTAAGGAATTATTTCTAATACTGAGAACAGTCAATCTTTGGAACTGTGTCAAGTTGGGCATGCTTCCAGTCAAGTTATTTGAGCTCAAATCTAGAATTTCCAACTTATCATTCCAATTCATCAGAACAGATATTTCATCTGATAGCATATTTCTGCTTAAATCAACAACGCGACAATTTCCTGATGAAGGCGGCAACAAGCCTGAGAGTAAATTTGATGAAATATTAACCATATCTAAAGTTGTTGAGTTGATATTTGGAACGGAACCTGGCAAAAGAAATGAATATTTAGAATACCTTCAAAGAAAATTTTGAAATAAAAGTAATTACAAAATTGAAAATATCAAAAGATAACAAACACGAATTACAGCTCCAACACGACCATATTGAGATTTTCAGTTGAAGAATACATGCTTTTGCTAAAAACAGGCGATGTGGAATATGATTTTACAGTATTTCTGGAGTAATGATAATAACATTTAAGAAGCTAAACATGACAAAAAACTATTTTGAGATGCCTTTTAAAGATTTATCATACACCTAAATGGCCAACGCTGTCAACCCAGCCAAACAAAGGACAGCCAATGTCTAATTACAGAAAATAAGCAGTACAATGTAACATGAGCTACATAGTTCACGCTAACAGCATGCAAACCATAGAATATATAAAATGAAATGCTTTCAAAAATAGAGCAATTAATTTAAACTCATACCTTAACGATTCAATAATGTGGAATTTTCAATTTGTGTTACAGGTAGAATATATAATAATAAGGTAGGAGCCAATGTTTAAAGAACTAGAGTTTCTGAGTTAAAACTTTCCAGTCAGGATATAAAACAAAGGTATCCTTTTTTTCCCTTATATCTTTAGCTGGAGCATTAATCTTGAAGACTACATACTGTGAATGGCACGTGTGGTCGTATCTTTGTCTCTGTATTCTTTTAGTTGAGACTTCTTGTCGACTACTGACTACATTCACAGTACTTCTCACAACAAAACAACATAATTCTTTAAGCTCTGCATTTGACCCTCTATATGGTAAGTGAAAACCACGACCCTACAAACTAAACATCCTAATTCTATGACAATAACAACTGAATTTTTGGCATCGTAGGTATGCAATATATATTTTCATCCTAATCTATTAGCGTAAACGACAAAGATATTGTATTCTGTTTGACCCACAAAAACTAAGCACACTGTTGTCAAACACACGCAATTGCAGGTACGCAAAGCATAAATCGTTAATGGCCAAAAGTCGCCCCCATAAACGGCCAAAATACCTAATGTCAGTTAGAATTTCAACTTAGAACCATAATTATTAGAGTAATGATACTTAGATACACCAGTCTAGGTGGCAGCACTAGTAGCATTAAATTGTAGGTTCAATTGAATGAAGAAGTTATGGCCTATTTAATAAAACCTATCATGTATTGCCATTTAAACAGGGATTAAACATCCCTGGTGCTAGAAGAATTAATCTAATTATTAACTAAGAGTAATAAATGCCACATCATAATTCAAAAAAGGCACCCACATTTTCTCAATGACGTAGCAATCAAAGTCTCGCTGATCGATCAATCAAAGTT